CATTATTCCTATGATGTTCAGCTGGGTAATTTGCTTCTGAAGATCAACAATATCTTCAGATACATGTGATGGTCTGTATGTTCTTTTATACCCTTTCTGAAGATGTATTTGCACAGGTTTAGGTTTTTCCTAATATGGAGAATGACTGCAGGACCTGTTAGCAAAGAGTGTCCTGCTCTACCTTGGTTTTGCAGTAGGGCGGCATTTCCCTCAAGCCATGTCCATGAGCATCTCATGGTACGCCTGTGGATCGCTTAGGATCCACATGCTGTTCTTTGATTCCTTGTCTCAAACAGTAACAGCTTGAAGGACCTGACAAACTTTTTATATGAAGGGATTTCTGTTTAACTTACACTCCAAATGATCCCAAATAACTAAGTACTGTTTTGTGCCTCAAACGCTCCAGGTCTGATTCTATTCCACTGCAGACAAGGATTGTTTTTCTCTGGAATCCTCCAATTAAAAAGACTGGGGGGTGGGGGGGAAGCCACTTTGTTGAAAGCAAACTGTACAAAACTCATGCCATCTTTGAAGAATTCCAGCCAAACAGTTCTGCAGTCCTACTAGTTCACTTAAACCCATACTGTGAAATACAAGCAACCAGGGCTTGCAGCTCCAAGGCACTGTTGCCATCCAAGCTGCCACAAAGCAGGAGAACTCCTCGCCTCCATGTCCCTTCCTGTGGAAGTGGGAGTCTGCAAGTCCCAGGCACTGACATATCTGCCAGCTTCAGGCCTGCAGCAAAGCCTGTTGAAATCCAGGTTGTGCTGAGATTAGGAACCACGGCAAAGGCAGGAAGCCTGGAGGAGCTGGGGCTGCCAAGCTCGGTTTCTTTTAGCCACTTACATCATGGGTGTCTCAAATATTTCAAAACACTTGGTAAAATTATTTCATTGGGAAATTTTCTAAACTTAATCCAAAGACAATTATTTTTTCTTCACTCACAATTTCAGAATTTCTTGAGTTTGATCACGTCTATGACTGATGAACTGGGAAATATTTGTCTTTTTTTATGAACTTACTGAATACTTCTGTGTCTCTGTGGATAATAGGTTATTTGCTATGGATCTGGATCAAGAACACCGGCGAAAGAAACTAGTGAAACAGTAAGACTCAGATCAATGTCCTTGAGGAAATACAAGAGACCAGGGAATAGGACAGGGAATTAACAGATTGGCAAAAGGATACGTGTGAAAGATGATAGGTAAACAGGGAGCCAGAGAGGCAGAAATTGCCAAACCAGAGTTGGAATTCACTACAGTAGCTTATATGTATAAAAATCTGCAGCAAAGAGTAAGTGTGGAGACAACGATACACTTCTATAGGCTTGTTTGGGATTTGGGGGTTTGGATTTGGTTTTTTTCTTAACCTTTCCTACTGTATATTTTTGGCTGCATGAGAAAAACACCTCCATATCTGAGCAGTCACTTTAACACCTTTCTAGTCATGGATTTCCAAAAAGACAGCGTACAGATGTCAGAGTTGGACTGACCATGCTACTTTGGGACAGAGGCTGGAGAGCCCATTCCCAGTTATCTGATCTGCCTGGCTCCATTGCCTGACCCCAGCCATGACAGGGTAGAGGATGTCACATCTGACGTTTGAGCAGTGTTTGTTCTTTTAGGGGGATCATGAAAAGTCTAAGATACAGCTTTGTCTCTAATGATGTTGACAGCTTTGCCATTGACTGATTAGGAAGTAAAGTCAGGCTCCACATGAAGTTTTCAAGTTCTGCAAGTCTGAGTTTGTTTGCTCCAGACTTCCCACCCAGTTTCCAGACTGTTGGTCTATCAAGTGTTCTTCACAAGCTGAGTGTGTGCATAGCATCGAAACACAAGGTGATATAAACCAGAGGAGCGTTGGTTTCTGTACGTGAAGGACGTGCTTGCTACTGAGCTGCCATCTGCAATTACCCTTTGGACGTTGTGTACTTTGGGACAACGTGATACCTGTGTGTGGCTTCTGCTCCATGGACCACATGAGGGGTTTGAAGACCTGGGTGGATACTGCCATCTATTGATTGCCGACGTGAAAATGAGTGGCTCCAGCTACCTTGAGACTTCACACAGAGCAGCTGCGAGTTTCCCGTCCTCTGTGTGAGAGCAGCCTCCCTCATCCCAGAACTGTGTCCGGTGTCCAGAAGAAACAAACAGGACTTGCTTCGTGGAGTTAATGGCCAATACAATGTGATGCTTGGCTGCTAAAAATATCTGTGGTGTATAAAGCTGAGAACAATACAGGATAAACATTTTCACAGTTAATCAGCTGACTTGGGTGGCCTCTCTAAATGAAGTGTACTGCTCAGTGTACATCTTCAGGATATCTTCACTTTAGCAGTAATAATAATAATGACAGCAACTTGTGGAGCCAGCTCGTGATGTGTACTGCATGTAGGTAAACTTCAGAGTGATGAAACATGGAATGAAAGTCTGTCACAACAGGTTAAGTAGTGTAAGTACAGCAAACAAAATAATCTGTTCAATTAGTATGAAATACAGGCAAAGGAAATAATAAATGATTGAAATCTTTGAGCCATCTAATGGAATCACCAAAAGCTAAGAACAGTCAGGTTTCTGTACAAGATCAGGCTAACAGATGTCCTTACATGTGTTTCATCATAAACCCAGGGTTTTGGTTTCTGTAGATCTTAAAGTCTACTTCACCTCCAAATGTAGGTGTCTCTCACACTTTTTACACACATTCATTCAGTATTTTTAGTAATTAATTTCATGGTTTTATCATTAAGTAAATTCATATTTCTCTTACCTTCTGAGTGTTGCTTTATATCTTCTGGCTTTTGAACAGCTTAATAATAATTTAAGTTCATATGACAAAAAGGTTAGAAATCTGTTTGCTTGATATAAACAAACTAATTGTCTTTCATAGAACTAGCTTGGCAAGAAAACATCTTGTCTTTTAATGCTCTTAATAATATTTGAGTTGATGTGTTTAAGCATTATAAATATTGAAATGGCAATAGCAAAAGTTCGACTTTCCACCAAGCTGAAGGGAGAAAGCAAAGGAGAGGGGGGAGTATTGCCCCACAATGAGCAATTGCTAGATAGCCTGGTTTCAGTAAACACACTTCAGGGTTTTGCCCTGAAAACAGCTGGAAGTTGAGAAATCCCTCACAAGTGAATTCCATAGATGGGCTCTACAGAGACCAAAAAAAACTTAATCAGGGATTTTGACTCAGAAGAATCATCCCCATTCAGCACAGCACTGAAAATGGGATTTTTCTGCTTACATTTAATTTTAACTAATTTAGACATCTCAGATTTGCAGCATGCTTCTTTCCCAGATAGTATCCCAGTGTTAGAGAGGTATTCAGTGGTTTTCGAAAGAGTTCCTTGGCAGGGAGCAGTAACCTCAGCCAGCCGTCCTGCAGCCTTCTAGCTACTGGTCCTTGGAGCAGCAGAACAAAAGAGGGAATCCCGTACACGATTAGCCTGTGATGTGCATGGTGTAGGAGAAGGAATGTTGTGCGTAGCTCATTGTCATCACACTTTGTAGTTCTCTGCTGCAGCAAAATATGCAGGGAATATGCAATATAATAATATATATGCCATTTGGGAGAGACTTTTTAGCAGGGTCTGTTGCAACAGAAAAAAGGGTGATGATTTTAAACTAAAAGAGGGGAAATCCAGGCTGGATGTGAGGAAATGCAAATGTGCATACAGAAAAATCATTTTTTGGTTGGGTTCACATCCATATTAATTCAAAAATTATATAGTAAGTCCTATGAGATACAAATGTCAGGCCCAAGATAAATTTTAGCTTCTTTGTCAAAAGGGTGCTATTTGGTATGAGGTACAGTACCCCTAACTTGGTGTTGAAGGGTGGGAGAATCAGACTGGTCACTGGCTTTTGGGAGGTTTCGAACTTCAAACACCATGTCTGAATAAAGCAAGTCAAATTTGCCCAGCAGATTGCCACAGTAGCTCCATTATCCCTTCAAAAGCAATAAACCTCACCTTTTCTGTAGCTATTAATAATCATTGGCTATGACAGGCTCAGGAATCAGTGTGTTGCAAGTTTTGTCTATTGCCAGGTGCTCCTCAGGAGTGTTTTGGTTGCATGAATTTAACCCACTGGACTCTTCAGAAAGGATACCTGTTTCCTAAGCTGTTGTCTTTGCTTATCATCTACACTAGTTTTAGAGGTCTAAGGCTGGGTACAGTTATTCCGTACTCTGATTTTGGAACATCTTTGTGGGGTGCTGTGGGATTCAGCATTTGCCTTTTTTTCCCTATGGTAGAAAAAAAAGTATTTTGAAGTGTCCCCTTTCTACAATTTTTGGAAGCTCTTGATGCAGCCATTACAGAATCTGGTTTAGCTGGAACAGAGGCATCAATAAAATGTTTTTTCTTATTTCTTTAATAATCTTAATTTAAGCATAACCTGTTCAGGCAGGGAGCTTCCAAATGATCTCACAGATGTCCTGTAGCTATGGATGCGGTTGCTGCTTTTGTTTCTATGATTGCAGACAGCTGTAGTGATAGCTTGAAGAAAGAAGAAACAATACATCACATGCAACATGCATTAAAGGACTGAGTGTAGGACTGTGATTCTTCCCTCTTCCCCCCTCCTTCCCCCCCCACTTTTATTGATTTAACATAAAACTAACTGCTTTAAGATGGCTGCATTAGCTTCTTTTTGCTACTACTTCATGGCAAATTAATTACAATCACAGTTCTGTTTACTCTGGCAGTAATTATTTTTCCTACTCGTACTCTGTGCTGCTGATCAATTTTAAGGGATGCACCAAGCTGAAAGCACACAGAACTCGAATCATCTTTGCCTATGGAGGCAAGAGCTTTATGTATCAGTCATTCCTGTAGCTGCACAGGTAGCTAGGACAGAGTTAAGGTACCAAATATTTTACTTGTGATACAGCACTATTTGCTTTTAAGTGCTGGTTTGCCCTGAGATCTTATCAATGAGCTTGGACTTCAGTAATTGCTTGTAATAAGCTTTTTCATATCTGATCACTCATGCAGTGTAAGGAAGAGGTTTTCTCATTTTGCCCAGAGGCTGAAGCAGCAGAGACAACAAAACCAATGTGATTCATCAAACAGTGACAGTGGACAATTACCAGCAACTTGTTCATGCTTTGCCTGGGATAGCCTAAGCTGGTAAGTCACGTTTAACTCTTTAATGCATTGATTCCTAATTATTAGTTTCAAGTGTAAAATTGTTTCATAAATTTATGTTTCATAACATATTTAAGAGCACATATAGTGTTTCATTGTTTCTTGGCTGTTGTATTTTCCTAAAGCTAATGCATTTCCAGCTAGGCTGTGTCCTGCTAGTGCACCTGTCTGTACAGTGCAGCACGTATGTGCCACATACCACAGACAGTGATCTAGAATTTAGCTATTTAATTTTTTATTTCTTTCACTGCAATATGCTTTTAAAAGGGCATTAATACCGGATCAGTATTTGCCAATCAAAAAAGTAAAGCTTTCATAATGGTAACAAATTTATATTCATTTGTATTTGAATTTGGCTTTTAAAACACCCTGTTGCTGGCCAATAAAACAGTTTTTATGCTGAGTTACCTCTGAATTAGTACTGCACAGCTCTGCTCTTCTTTTTTGTCCTTGTCTTGATGATGTTTAGGTTTGTGTGGTAAATGCAAATTGTTCTCTCTGTCATGAGTTTATTACTAACTGCATGGTATTTGGAGTTCAATGACTGTACTCTTGGAATTAAATGATTTTAAGAAATTGAAACTTCCTTTAAGAGCATTCCTATGACATTTATTGTGTGTTTTTATCCATAATTTGAGACTGATTCTTGACCCATACTTTATTGATGAAAGGAAGAAATTCTTGCAAGCAAAGGCAAGAGGAGAAATTTATATGGGATGATCTGTAGCTCCATATACTAATAAAAACTATGGAAGTGTTACTCTAGCTGAGAACAAAATTATTATTGTTACTAATTATTATTTATTACTATCATTAGGTAAATTGCTGAGTTTCTTTAAAATCCCAGTAAGATGGGCCAGTGGAAGATGAGTATTCATCTTTGGGAATAATTAGCTATTTCTTAAGCTTATTTGTAATAAATACTGAAAACAAACAGAAGCATTGAAGCCCTGCTAAACAGAGACACGTGTGAATGAAATCTTTTGACCATCTTAAAAGGAATTTTATTTCATGTTTATCCTCCCAAACGGTTCCACAGATGCAGCTGTAAAACAAAAGACTGTCTTCTTCTAAGTTTGCCCAGTATTAAAACTCAACACTTACAGCAACTTCCATACAGTTCTAACTGTACCCACACTTATTCCAGCACATGGCTCCAAAACACTCTGGCATGTCTGGAACATTTGTGAGTTGGCATTGGTGATGATAATTTTAATGTTTTGCTCTAGTCTGATGTTAACAAGCAGCTTCTCATGACAGAGACTTTGATTTGCTCTGTTTCTTGGTTTCTACTAAGCCTTTCTATCTAGTCTGCTTTGCAGGGCAGAGAATAAAACGCTTCATTTGAAGAGACAGTGATTTCTGTTAGTCCTTGTAGACACTGCTGAAATGCATGTAATAATTAAAAGGCAGAAATAATTGCTTGTGTGAGCCTCACATTACCTTTATTCCATAAGCTCAGAGAGAAGCAGTCCAAAATCGTTGTAGTATTGTTACTCCCTGAGTCCCAGAAAGCTCATTTCTTATGACATCCCCACTTGCATATTAGTTTCAAGGATGCAGCTCACATAATTCCCTTCTGATTGCACACACTGTTGTTCTAATTTATCAAAGTCTTCTCATCACACATGTCAATTATGTTTACTCCATCTCTCTTCATTCAGAGATTTGGTCTCTCTTCAATACCCCATGAGCTTGGAGAATATGCGAGACTACTTGTAATCAGATACTTTTGAGCTCAGGACCACAACATACAAATGAGAAAAGAAGGTGTAGGAAGCTTATGAGACCTGGGTGGTGTCTTTCATCTTAGGGGCCAGTTCATGTCACCAAGCAGCCTCAACAGCAGGGAGAGTGTTTAGTAAAGAAAGTTTTTATGATTATAGTTATTAGAGTCTGGTCCTGCAGTCTGCTCTACTTAGGCACAGGCTGAGACCATAAGAACAGAAAGTTACAGGATTTGTAGCATAGTACATATTACAAAGAATCTAAAGACTATTTCCAGGAAAAGATAGTCTGAAAGGATAGCCAGGCCTACTGTCGCATCGGTGAGGTCTTCCAGGAAGACATTCTGTCTTATAAATGTGTACACACTCTTATCAGGGGGAAAAGGAAATGTGAAGAAATTTGTCACCTTTTCAAAGACATCCCTGGGGATATTTTCCTGTGCTTGCAGTTGGGTTAAATCTGGTTCTTTGTTTTCCTTCAGAAAGGCAAAACTATTCCCAGAGAGTTAAGTACTAATTCAGTTTTTCCTAATAGGGAAAAATGGCTGTAATCATAGAGCATAGAAAGTGCTGTTTAATTATGGGATAATATGGAAATCCTATTAGGCTAGTCAGTCTTGGAGAGAGGAGGCAGTCCCTCTTGGAAGAGTTTGTAGTCTAAATGGACAGGGCAAACACAGAGCAGGATATAGTTACACAATACATAGACAAGGTCAATGCCTGTTCATTAAATGAAGGAAGAAACTGCTCAGTATGAGACTGTAAGCAGCATATATTAGATTCACAGATTATTCTACCTGTAAAACAATGTAAGGGATTTTTTTTTGCAATAACCTGAACACTAGTTGGCCATAGGTAGTTTAAACTAAAAATGCACATATGCCTCATTATGCCTACAGCAGAGCCCAAGTAGGTTTTCTATGTTTCAGCTATTATTTGCTCCAACTTAATACCTTCGGCGTCTCAGTTACAGAGCAGGTTCCCTCCCTGCCAAATGCTCCTCAAAACTAACAAAAGCATTCTCTGCAGCAATGGACTTTCATACGGATGATAACATGTCAGCATGTGATGCAGATTAAAGGTATGTTCATGCATTATTTCTGTAGTAGCTTGTGATGGGTTCAGAGACGAAGAAGTATTTTGAATCCAGCCATTCTTTCTGAGTGAGAAATACTGCTTGAGTCTCTGGAGAAGGAGAATCCACCCACCCAACTGAAAACACCACATTCTTTTGGAGCACAGTTTCCTAGCAGGTAGTAATGCTGGAAATAAAGCACATGTCTTGCCACAGTTGTCTGTGTCAAATGACTTGACCAGTTATAAAATTCAGTCCTGCATTGTGTTCCATAATCAGATTTTTTTTTTCCTCTCAATTGATTCAGTTTTAAGAAACCATCATACTGACAAAGTGCAGGTTATGTGCATGTTACCCAAACTGTATTGTAACATTTACATTTGGGTGTCATTTTTTCTGACACCCGCATGACCAGAACTCATTCTGTCAAAAGGCCGCTTCCTCAACTAAATGAAACCCCTTCTCCTTATACAAATTAGCAAACAGTTCTGGTCTGGTTTATTTTTCCATCCTTAATTCTCCCTCCCCATAGATACCCTGGCACTAAATAAAGAGCAATTTGCCACTGAACAAGCTCAAAACCATGCTTCTGAGTGTTCGAGCACTGTGTGTATGAAAGTGATTTTTGTCACAGAAGTCTTACAATGTGCGTTTCAATGATACAGCCCTGATCAATGATGTTAGTGCAGCAAAACCTTGCTAAACAGCTGTTGCTTTTCTTCTAGAAACCACTAGCTGAAAATGACACAGCAAATGCATAACTTAAGTCTCCTCCAGACTAAGAAGAACAGCATGCCTTCCTCCCCAAATGCTGCCAAGCGACTGTATCGGAACCTGTCAGAGAAGCTCAAGGGGAGTCATACATCCTTTGACGAAGCGTATTTCAGAGCTCGATCTGACCGGCTCAGCCTCCGTAAGACCTCAATGGTAATTACTTGATATTTATCAAATTGGTGGTTTACTGTCTTATTCATCTCCTTACTCGGTTTGCTTTTAATCTGTGCAATTTTCATCATCTTACTTTGTTCCCTGACCAGAGCTGTATGCTCTTCATAGAATTACCATTTATGATCCTGCAGTATTAAAGTCTGACCTTCATGAAGGCTAAAGACAAGCTACTTAAACACTAAAGACAAGCTACTTAAACAATGATGCTTTATTTTAGGACTAAGGTCTTGGCATTAATTTAACAAAATATGGATTTTATATCTATCTATCTATATATATATATATACACACAAGTGATTCTTTTACAAGAAAGGAAGAAAAAGTGCATTGTGAAAACTTAAGATGTCTTGGGTACCTCCAGGTATTGCCAGTCTGGGGCCTCAGCTGATGCCCACAAGCCAGTGAATAGTCTCCAACTGAAATTAAAAGTCTTTGGATCCCATTCTATCCATTTTGCCTGTTGTTTTCACAGTTTTCCCTAGAAATAAATAGCAAGGAATCCATCAGAGAAGGGGTGGAAACATTCCAGGTCAAGTTGCTAGCTGATGTATTTTCTAATCATTGGGTTTCTGTGCTACAGAGCAAAGCCAATGACTAAAATCATGTTTCCAGACAAGTGAACAACAGTTGTTCGGGTTTGTTTTCTTTCAGCTTTGGCCAGTGAAGAGTTTTCTTTCCATTCTCTCTTGCTGTGCAACACTTTCCATTCAGTAAATTGTTGTCTTGCTGCAGACATAGCAGTGTCCCAAAATAGCTTTATTCTTGAACTCATGTTTATCAAAACAAGTCTTTGCAGAAACTACTTTAATGTTTTTTCCAACTCCAGTAGCACATAGTGGACTTTTTGAGTCAAACCTAGAGCAAGTATCTTGAAAGGGGCACTTCATTTTAATTAAGCTGCATAAGATCGCATTTCTAAACACTCCAGCACTGAATCACTTACTGGAACATGGTTATTACTTACTGCAAAGCAATACTGTAGTCCTTTTCAGTATACACATTTGTGCATAAGAGTAACACCTAAATAAATTAATCACATAGCACAGCTGTCTAGCTAATGATTAGAGGCTGTAGAACTGAGTCAAGGGAAAAGCAATGTAAAAAATGCCCCTAAGCTTTACCCAGTCACTTGTAAATGGGATTCAATTTGTTTGAATTCAGTGGTTTTGTCCTCTCAAATGAAAGTTATCCAGTAAATGTAAATGAAGGCAAAAATCAGAAAGCTCTTGTTAACATTTGTGACAATACCAGTGGGGCTAAAATTACACACATGGGTCTAAAGGCACTATCTTAACCCTCTTTGAGTTTCTTACTCCTTGGCTGAAATTCTAGAGAGTGCTTTACACTGAATATGATCAGCTTTTGGCAGAAATCTATATAATCTTCAAATACATTTCTGTTTTCTGTGTGAAAGCAAATAGCTGGGGAAAAGTTGGTCAGGTGTGTCGAGTGTTTTTGTAGACTTGGAGAGCTGGGCTTGATGCAGACATCCAAACAGGGCAGTCTACTGGCATGGCTGAAAACGGGGTAGATATTTTGCTGTCTGACACGGATGTTTCTTGACCGAAACAGCAATAGCATGGTTAGATGCGCACTGCTGTGTGGATGAGGGGATGCATACATGCCCAGTTAGAAAGGCCATATCACAGCTCCCATGTTTTTACACTCTTTGAAGTGATGAGACGTGCCAGCATATTTCAGCCTATTGCTTGTGGCTGAATTGTTCATTTGGAAAACCTGATATTTGCTATTTGGTCTCATAATTGTTTGGATTGGATGAAGTAGCTTATAAAATTCATGCTCTGTTTCTTGTTTAAATCAGTGCAGCTTTTTCAATCAGTTTTCTAATGAAACGAAGAAATAGAAATTTGCTCTTATTTTTTTCCCTTTTGGTGAAACATCCTTGCCAACAGATTACCTGGCAAGGGCATTTATGGGGAATTAACTTGAGCGTGTGCTTAGATTCTGTTCAGCAACTTAAGGCTAAAATTTCACATATACTTCAGGTATTTCATTTGGCAAGCAAAAAAAAATCCAAAGGTGCATTTTGAAAGGCACCGAGGCAGGTCTGAATTTTGACAACTGAATCTGAATCAAACGTTTAACAGTAACCCTGCAGTAATCATTCAGGTAGGTAAAATGTGCGTACATATATGTGAAAATGGCCAGATGATTTTGCCAGATGTATCATTAGGTTAATTTCAGCTGTGATACTGAAACCTCGCCATCATTTGTTTTATTATGTAACAGAGATGTTTTGTTTTCATGTAGCACAAGGAACTCCTGAGATGTAATACAGGATTTAATGAGTTTCACCCAAAACTGGAATTAAAGCCAAGCAATGGTATTGAGTGCCTGGGGTAGCACACTACAAATGCCAATTCATTTAACTTTTATGCTCAAATATCAAGTAAATTAAAAGAGAATGGCCATTCTGATCTCAGAAAAGGCGAAAACCCTGTATGAACCCAGTGCCACAGCTGTGGAAATGTGAACCAAGGAATAGCTGGTTTCCTGCCCTAAGTGAGCGCCACAAGCCTGTTATTAAGCAGCATCATCAGCAGGGCCTTTTTGTTCTGTTCTCAGACCATTAGCCCATGTTTCCTAAGATAAACTTCACTAAAAGTAAGGAAAACTAATGTAGTCATTCAGTTTACTTCAACCAGTTCCCTTTGTAGTAAACCCTTTCTGAATGTACTGTTACAAAAGTAGATTTTCCTAGCTGTGATCAGTTACAAGAGTAATACAATTTTGCTTGTTTCCTGATTGCATCAAAATGCAGATGCTTCTGAAGCTTAACTACCCTTTTTTTCCATAAACAACAGTATAGAGGAAGTTCCAAAATCAGTAGAAAATGAATTTCAAATGGGTGTAAACTGTGAGGAAATTAATGTTTTTTACAATGTTAACATAAGTTTTTGGAGAATTGGTGAATATATTTTGCATTTCTAATAATTTATATGAAAACTCAGTCTATGAGTTTAGTTCTGCATTCATAATAATGAAGTTTCAAAGAGCAAAGGAGCACAGCCACTATTTTTTCCATCTCTTTAGGTGGAACATCAGTGATCTATTTATGTTAATTTTGAGTACAGCTGTTCAGTGCATAGAATTGATTTGAGTGGCAGTTGATGATATTAATTAAAATATTTTGACATTTGAATTAAATTAATTAAAATTATTTAATTTCTAGCCAGAGCACTTCAGAGTAGGGTTAAAACACCAGAATAAGAGTAAGATCTCTGACACTTGGGATGATAAGGTGCTGGATAAACAAGGCAGCAGATGTGTGGAGCTACTGGAATGAAAAGAACTGCTGCATTGCAGTAAAAATATGTCTTTAAGTTTTACCTTATAATAAGAGAAATATGTGCTGGCCTCTATTCGAAGATTTTCTGGAGCTGTGCCCCCTCTAATGACAGAATATGTCCTTAAAGACATTATTTTGCTTTGACAGGGGGGTGGATAAAGAAAGATAAATCTGGCTGCTTACCATTTAACTGTTCCTTTTTCTGAGCCTTTTCTCTTACACCTAACACTGCAGTACGAGCTAAGTATTTGGTAATGGAATTAACTCTGAATCTTACAATCTGGAGAAGAATCTCTAGATTGTAAGCAAGAATTTGACAGAGACCCATTTTGATGAAGCTCTTGCTTAAGCAGTGTCTTTTATTCTGCATGGAAAACTACAGCTTAAATATTTCTCCAGCATGAGCTATCTTTTGTACTTAAGTGCCTAAAAGGTACATTCTCAAGTCAGCACTACTCTCCTAGATTTGCTTTATTGCTGCATGATTCACCTCATCCTTACATAGTCATCTGACATACGTATTTTGTAGCGTGGGACCAATACTTTGTATGCAAAACAGTAGAGCAGAAGAATTTTGTCAGGCCCAAGAACTTCTGAAGCACAACTGAAACAAACCACCTAGAACTGATCAAATTCCAAGGGGTAGCTGTGGACCCTGGGTTTCTGAACTGCTAGCAAACTATTAGTCTGTGCTTTTTAGGAGGAGACAAAGATCTTCCATCAGATCAGTGCTCTTCCAGAAAGCGCTGTTTCCCTGAGAGCAAAACTTGGACAGGGATATGCCAAGTAAAACTACATCAATTTTAAAAAAAATGCTTTGCTGTGGCTGAAATCCTTATTTCTAATCACAGCAGAAAGCTGTTTCAATTCTATATTTTCTCTGTTTCCTCCATGTGGGTTTCAGAACACAGGAATCCAGTTTAAATCATGTATCTGGATCACTTCCTCTCTATGTATGCATTTATCCAGTATGCCCACTGGCACAATATATCTACACAGATCTCTGCTCCTTTATGTGACCACATGCTGAGCCCTCTTTGCTTCGCTGGGCCTCTTGCTTCTACTAATTCATTCTTAGGAGGAGAAAAATCGACTGGGTAATTATGGCAATGGGACAGTGGGAGAGAATGTAAAGAATCTTGGCACATAGCATGTCATTACTGTAGGCTCCAGAAGGATGTTCACAGAACAGAAACCTGCAGGCCCTTCTACTCTCCTGCACCTGCTTCTCCCCAGCTCATTTAAGCGAGAGGTTTCTCTGTATTCTACCATTGTTTTACCTCCTTGACATTGGTAAGGAAAAGTTTCAGTGGTTCTCCCTGCTTGAGAGTTGGTGCCATGTATGTTCATGGGTTTGGCTGCTGTATTCTCTGCTGTTCAGACACATCACTTTCTGGGCATGCCAATTTTTTCAGTTTCACTTCTTTAAGGACTGTACATTTCAAAGCTGCTTCTACTTCCAACTAAATGCAGAACTGCAAGCACCTAGAAATAACTGAAGTGTTTGAATGAAGAGTACCTGTTGCTGCTCACACTGGAGCTGTGAAGGGTGTTCTCCAGAGCAGCTTGTTTGATCACCTGAGTTTGAAAACTCAGTAGTCCAAAACTCTCCAAAAATCAGCCTTTCATCCAGTTTCACACCAAAAACATAAAATATTGCTCATAGAGTTTGATTATAGGACAGATGTCTAAACAAATATGGGTTTGCTTTGTGTGGGCTTGAATCTCATTTGAATATTTCAGGGGCATGCAGCAAGTTCAAGCACACAAGGTCCAGAGGCAGACAAAGCTCAGTTTTGCTGCAACCCTTTTCCACATTTCCAGCTAAACCTAAGCTGTGGCCAGAGGCTCGGTATTTTACAGCAATCTCAAAAAGTACAAATTTTCTCATTTTATTTTTAAAACACTGATATTTGAAAAGTTTTACTGACTTTCTCATTTTATTTATACACAGAATTTCCAGTGCAATGAAGCTATGTTTGAGGCTGTAGAACAGCAAGATCTGGATGCTGTTCAAATTCTTCTTTATCAATACACACTGGAAGAGCTGGACCTGAACACACCAAACAGTGAGGGACTAACTCCTTTGGACATTGCCATTTTGACAAACAACGTCCCTATTGCTAGGACCCTTCTACATGTTGGGGCAAAGGAAAGCCCACACTGTAAGTAAAGACACAGATTTAATTGATTTACATAATTGCCTGTAGATTACATTTGCTGCTCTTTTGGCAAATTAATCGCTTTACACACAAAACTTGCCTGGTTTTATCATCAGGATGATTTTACCAGCAATAGTGCCACAATGCTGGAGGGCATCTGCAGCAATATCTGTTTGCTGAATACATGCTCAGTAGATCTTCCTTGTTCTCTATGTCAAATACACCAACTGATGAATCAGGCTGAGCTTCTAATGTGATTAACACTGGGACAGGAGAGTCAATGTCAATGCTGAGGAAAAGATCTTTTAAAATATGGACACAGGAACTGAGTGATTCAAATGCCATGGTCTGAAATACGGAGTTTGTCATCAGAATGAAAGGACGATGGGTTGTCTAGACTTTGGTTTATTTTGATTATCCTTTTGATTTCAGCTGTGCTGCCTTCAGGTGACAGGTTGTGTTGAAATCCATCACTTCCATTACCCACAGACTCCTCAATCCTACTCTTCAAATGGCCTAAAATCTCACTTCAATGAGAATTTCAAAGTTCTACAGAACCAGTGAAAATCCAAACACAAAACAGACCTCACTTTACCGGAATACCAATATCGCTTATAACTACATATTGTAACTCTAAAACTCCTTTGTATTCCTTCATGGGCATTTTAATGCCCAGTTTGTGGGTTGGAGGGTGACTTACCAACCCAATTAATCAACCCTACACCATGACACAAACTCTGACGCCTTACTTGTGTCTAAAAATACACCAATGTATGCGAATTTGTTTTAAACTGTCAATGCCTATATTTAGGACATTCCCAGCAAGGCCATAATGAGACTGTGTTTGAGGGGTTCAGCCACTGCAGACTCTGCCATTAATTTGAAGTTAGTTAAATTAACAACATTTAGTGCTGGCATGTCAATCTCAGTGCTCCAGGAAATTGCACCTTGAGGCTACTAACATTGCCACTTTTTTCACTGGAGAGTGTGTGTGCGTGTGCGTGTTGAGCTTTTTTGCCAGACCCTCAGTGTTGGTACACCTTTATTGCTTTTCTATGTCCACAGCACTTATATTATCATTTATTCTGGCCTCCTTTAACCTTCCCTGGAGATTTTTGCATAGTGTAGCTGCTCAGTGAAAAGAGTTTTTTAGTTTTATATTTATTTGTTTATTTTTCTGTCATGGTTCATGACTGAGGCTTTAAAAAAAAGTGTGACAGCATTTAGAGTACATGATTGACTGCTGAAGCAACATTCATTAACCATGACAAATCTAGAGGAAAACACAGTCTTGAGTGTTCTAAACAGCAGTAAAAAAGACTAAACTAATTTTTCATTGACCTCATCTGTAAATAAATGCAGTCTGATGGCGAGCAGGGGCAATCATAAATTAGTATTCATTTCCTGTAATTAATGCAAACATGCCTATGAACACAGAGAATATGAATATATAACCACCTCATTTCCATTTCAAAATATACCCACCAAATTTCCACTTCACTTATCTTGATTTTTAGTTTTTCTGATTGAAATAATGGGTGAAGCATTCTCACTAAAAAGCAAACGATTGTTTGCTTTGTTGGATTTCTGTTTAGCTTCAGGGTTTGCAGTTGTGCTACTTGAGAGCAAAATGCAAAAAGTTATTGTCAGCACTCAAGAAGTTCACAGCATCTTTGTATGTGGCTTCGTTCTCATGGACCTGAGAGCACTCACTTTCTATTTGTCTTTCTCCTTTGCTTTCTGCACTTCAGCAACCCTGTTAGGATGCAATCCATTCTGTTTGTATGATCTCTAGGCAGCACCCAGCGGGAGAGTTTTCCTCTCTCCATGGTGGGCATTTGAGCAAGGCTTCTGCATGCTGAGTGGAATTTCAAAGTAAAATTCCGACTCATGCCAATTTTGGGACAGGACACAAGCATCTCTTAAATCTCATTGGAAGCTTATAGGACAGATGCACAGATCTGGGAGACTGCAAGGCAGGAGAATTCTCCATTCCAAGTGCACAGAGAAAGCTTCCTATAGAAAAAAGTTTGCTCTTCCACTGCGTTAGCTGTAGTGATCCAGGTGAAATCTCATTATAGCCCCTAATCTAACACTGTACAAAAGAGGATCTGGAGGACAGATAACTTCCATCTGCATCGCCTGGACTTCTGCCTGGAATAGGAACAACAGCAGAGAAAGCAATAGAAAGTAAAACTATGGTCTTAATTTCCACATGGAGCTCAGACTGTGTAAATCTGAACAGGAACCCATCTCTTAAACACAAACAAAGTAAGATCAGACAGTGCAGCATTTAAAATATTAATTTATTTTGGGAGGAGGCAAAGTCCACTGTGTTACCTTTTCAGTTCCTCTTATTCATCATCCTCATTGTTTGGCTTGGTTAGCTCATGTGAACCCAAATGAAAATAAGATTAAAATTTCCTGTGCCTGATCAGACACATTTCCAAGACCTGACAACTGTGGCTCAGAATCTTGATTAAACAGACAGAGCCAGGTCCTTAGTGAGAACTTGAATTGATGCCAGTTCTCAATTACCTGAAGTTCTGGCACATAAAATCTCCTTCTTCAGCCCTGTTGTGCTATCAGATGTGTTGCATGCTTATCATAGGCTTAGATCCAGGAAACCGTATCACCTTTGGCCTCCCAGTAAATAGGCAGTTCTGAGGATACCAACACATTCCAGTAAGCTGGGCCATATGTCTCTGATGTCCATATGAAGAATGATCAGACTTCAAGGATGGCTTCCAGCCAGCTTCTGAAAGCAAGGTCTTGGAGACAAACACTCTTCGAAAACAACCTTTTGGATGTCCGAAGTGTTGAGTAATTTGCTCTCCTCCTGTGGCTTTAACGATCCCATGGCCCTTTTCCTATCAGTAAGTGGGGTTATTCTTGGACTCTGCTGAGCTTCAATTGTGATACTGTTATGAGAGGCAGAGGGCAAATAAAATGAGAGGTTCAGACTGGATAAAAGATGTACCTTTTCACCTTAAGGACAGTAAAGAAGTGGAATAGGTTTCCTAGAGTCTGTAAAGCTTCAATCCTAGGAAGTTCTCAAGACCAGGTAGGTATTGGCCTCAGTAACTTGGTCAGACCTCACAGCTGACTTTGTTTGGAACATGGAGGTTGGACTAAAGAATGTCCTTTCCAATCTGATCTGTCCCATAATCCTTATGATTCTGGTTTAGGAACGACACATGCATATGCACAGACGTTTTTGCTCCTGTGGTGTTTTGATGTCAAAAAGCTATCAGAGTCTTGGTCCTATGTATGGTACAGTTTTCAGAAACTGCTACTGCTCATGCGAGTGGTCAGTGAATCCTTTGCAAGACTTATGCTGCCCTCTGAAATCCTTAGGGAAAAATAGAGCCTGGCTGTCCCAAGAGAGCAACTCCTCATCATTGCTAAGAGTAGCTTGCGCTGCTCAGCTTGTGCTAGAACAGTGTTTTCAGCAAATAGGGGCCTTTTAAATGAAGGCCCTCTTGGAACTCTTCTGCAAAAATACCAGACACCAGAGAAAAAAAAAATACCAGAAAAAAGTAATTTTCTGTGATTTCAGAATTACATCTCTTGTACACTATTTCCTTCTTACTGCACATCAGATCAGTGGCTGCATTTATTTTCAGATAAATAACCTTACAAGCCCTATTTTCTAGCTGCAGATAGTTTGAACAATTTCAGGCTAAGAACATTGCTGAGAACAGGGCTTGACTCATCACTTTTCATGTATAACAAGGGGCTGGTTTAGGGCAGTCTTGTGGACTTGGGCTATTATAGTTTGTAACCTATGTGATCTTCCTTTCCACCTTTGCATAGCACAGAGTAGCTCATACAGACAATCTGAACTGCTAAATGTCGAATTAAAATTATTCTGAGCACTGGAGCAAACCAAAATCTCTGTGTCAAGCTGCTCACTATGTGTCCAGCATGTCAGAGGACTCATTAGACATTACACAGGCAAAATTGTGGCACAGTGAAAAGCTGGGAAAAGATCCATTCTATACCAGCCACAGCTCTTAGGCACAGAATTCTCATTCTTAAGTTTGCCAGTGAGATCTCTCTTTGCTTTATTGTATGTGTTTATAAGCAGTAAAAACCTTTTTTTTCTATGAAAGCTTATGGTATTATAGTGAAATGTGAGTTGGATAGAAACCAAATGCTTTATTATTTTACTTTGGTTTTTAATATTCCACCAGTTTAAAACATATATATACTCTTGATGACAAGAAAATGACTAGAAGGCAAAGTGTTCAAGTATTTAACCTTGTATGTGTTATACCAGAATGCATAAGGCCAGAATTTTGTCACATAAGTCCACCAAGCAATTACTTTTCCCTTCTCTTGGTAGTTGTTAACATGGGAAGCAGGTCAGTGCATCTGAGTACACTGGTCCAGGAAGCACAGCAGCGAATTACTGAATTGTCTGCGCAAGTGGTGAATGAAGACCCTGGTACAGACAACACAGAGAAAGAGAAGCAACTAAAAACATGGGAATGGAGATACAGGCTATACAAGCGCATGAAAGCAGGCTACGAGCATGCTAGTAAGTAGAAGAAATCAGTTGCAAAATCTGAGATGAACTGTACAACTGGGAACACTGCCTTTGTTGAGCAAACATGTTCTCATCAGGTGATCCTCACAGCACTGATGTGAAGCAGGCTAATGTTAGGGTGAAAGAAACGAGGCATATGGCTAAACAGCATTACCACAAATGAGGAAGAGCTAGATGTCAAAACAATAGTGGGCCACATATCTGAGAGCAACAAACTCATTACACTTAGGAGCGGGCTGTGTAAAATTGGTACAATGAGATCAGGATCTAACGATTCGGTCTTGCTCATTTTTCTTCACATTTACTCCTTGATCTCATTTAATGTGCTCAGAGTTTAAAACAGGATGATTAGAACAGGGTATTTGAATAGGGAGGGAAAGAGGGACATTGGCCTTTGTTCAGTTGTGACTATTATTTTTTTTAACTTATTCTGATTCAGAATGATCAAACAATGGAAATTCATTTTCCTTACAAAAATTCATTTCAATTTTGGCCTCCACGTCTAACATTTTATCAGCATAATCACGGATTGGGCCATTTAAACAGTTGTTCAAGTGACTCTGTACCCAAAGTAAATGTAAATTTGGGGCCATAAGAAGGAATAAACAAGGTTTAATTGTTTCACATGTAGATCTTTTAGCTGTATCCTATTTGATGAAATACAGTCATTGCCATTATCACTTTTACAACCCTTTAGACGCACTTAGAAATAATTTTCTCCAATTCATTGCATTTTAAGATTACTTCTTCAAGACAGATGTAGTGCTCCTTGTATTAGATACATTACTGCTGCATTTCCTGCTTCTAATAATATAATGATTTTTTAAAACAATCCCAGCAGTTACTCATGACATGTTTTGTTTGATTTCTGAATTGAGTCTGATTGATATTCTGTGAATTGAGCCTTTAAAAAATAAAATTAGGCCTCAACTGACATCTGTATTTTGGAACTTTTACACTGACACTTTTGTGGAATTTGCGATTTCTGCATCACAATAATGTAAAAATGTGTTCTGTGATTTGATAATTTGAGCTTGTGGGTGAAACCATAAAGGTTTAATTAGCTCTTTGTGGTTTTGTCCTTTCTCTCTCCTCCTACCCACCCCAAGAGATTTATAGGGGCTTTTCATTGACATAATTAGCATGAATCTGTTTTATTGGGTTACATATATGCAGGAAGATATTTTTAACTGAAAGGAGCCAAAAACCATGATAGAAACAAATGGTGTCTGCAGGATATTGTTAGCAGGGGCACTAATTAAAATGCTCAAAAGGCAGAGAACACAAACACCTACAACCCAAAGCTCACAATTGCAGGATGATTTTCAGTGGGTTCTTTGAAGACTCAGAAACATTGTTTGAATAGGATTTGTTGTGTTGAAGAGCTGATGTTTTCTCTTCTCTCCCAGGAGCCCCTGAGGCGCCAACCAATGTCTGTCTCATGGTAACAAGCAGTACATCACTCACTGTCACCTTCCAAGAACCTCTGAGTGTCAACTCAGCTGTGGTGACCAAGTATAAAGGTACTGATTTAGACATCTTTCATTTATGTTATCAATGTACAAAACTTCGAGGGCTAAATGCAAAGGTATTTATTGCAATGTTAATAACGTTTGAATTATTTTCCCAGTTAATAGCCGTAGAAGTGGAATTTTCTTAAAAGATTCCCCAAAGACAAAATCTTTATTAAAAAAAGAAAAATAAATTAACCAAAAGATTTCTCCATGAGTGCTTTGAAGAAGTTTGCTTGACTCACTGTGGTTAGAACATCGGCTCAATGACTGGGTTGAGATGAGCAGTTATAAAACACAAACTAACTTTTGGTGCCTGTGGGCTCCTAAAACCATGTGTATCCTTGTAAATGCCAAACCCACACCACCATTCCTTAAAGGAATGCCTCTGGAAGCTGAAACTTTTGGCAGAGGCATCATACAGCCCAACTAATTAGCTATTCCAGGGCTGCCACATCATTCTTGGAAGAGCAATACATTTGGGGTGGCACCAGTTAGTTGCAAAGTGGGATGAATAGGAAAATGCTTCCATCTGAATAGCACTGTTGAATAGAAATGGGTTTAAAACAGAATTTCTGTTCCACAGGAAATTCCAACATTAAAATAACAAAAACTGTTTTATTGAAGATTAGAACAAAAATGAGAAATTTTAAAATTTCCTGCTTAAAGGAACTTCTAGGTTTTCTAACATGTTTGGAACAATAAGTTCTTCAGTGTTAAGTGCAGCAATGTGCTGCAGCCTCCATATTCCAGTGGGAGCCTGAGTCTTCCCACAGGTCAGGGGACGGAAAGCTCTGTTCTAAGTTCTGAGGCCTTCTTTGCCCAGCCCAGAGGGGTCAAGGAATGAGGAGCCTGGAAGTCCTTTTAGTTATTTCCCACTGTGTCTCTCAGTGTTTCCTGTTGTGTTTGTTTCTTTGTATTAATAATTAAAAACTCCTATGAGAGAAATTTGAACCTTGGCTTTCCACACAGAGCAAGAACTGTAATGGCTGTGTTGTGGGGCAGTTTATTTTATGTTTCCATGTGTGGGTGTCACAGGGATTGCTTCAACAGGAGGGATTCGGAAAGCCCCAGCCCATAGGGGGTCCAGTAGCTCATGGAGCTCTTCTGAAGGTGGGACATGCCAGGGCATAGGCTCTGCTGGCATCAAGCATAAGCACCCAAAGGATTGCATGAGTTTATTTTGGAAAAGGCAGATTCTCTCTTTCTTTCCTCCTCCTGTGTCTGGGCACAGATTGCCATCACCACTGGCTATGGCCAGTGAATAATTTTTTTACAGTGTAAGGAAAAACCCAACAACCTCTCAGACCTCACTAAAGCCATCAAAGTGATTCCATTCTGATAGCCTCAGTGGAGGGGTAAATTACTGTATTACACCTAGTCAGCTGTGCAGTGCTGCAGGAAGTGTGATTTTCAAAAGCATCAAAACCCTTTAGAAGCCTAAATCTAATTTTCAGCAATGGGTTGGGTTGCCAGGAGACTAAATTTCATTTAAGGGCTTCCTATTGCCTGATTTACTTGTGAAAATGATACTTGGGCTCCTAAAACATTGAAGTTCCCTTCAAAATATCAGCCTGTTCTTTGTAACACGTGTATTAAACAACATTGAAATATTGCCCACACTTAAATTATAATGGCTATTGATATTTGCACAGTAAAGCAAATTCCCAAATAGAAATGATTCTTCTTAAAACATTTTCTAAAGCTTGTAGTGTATTTCCTCTACTTATTCACTTGGCTTGAGTCTGTTTTGCCCTGTGTCAGTTCTGTCTTCTTTTTGGTAAGCACAACATTCAGAGAAATTTAATCCAACCCGACCTAACGCTCTAATCAGACTAGGTAGCATTGCTGCTGTAGTTTGAGTTACCCTCACTGGAGATCATTTTATGCTTTATCAAGTTGACAGTTAGTTTTGCCAGAATGTTCTTTTTAAATCCTTTATCCCAGGAGACTTGTATATTTATGGTTAGATAAAAAGAAAGATCATTAATAGCTCCTTTTGGTGACTTTCGGGAATTAATTAAGCACTACTTGTAGAATTGTTTATTACATTATGGAGTGAGATTCTTTGTGCTACTTTGAGGGGTCATAAAATGAACCTTTCAAATGATCACTTGCAAGAATGATTAGAACCAGCTAGCAATTACTAGCCCTGAAAGGAGAGTTTGATAACATTGTGAGAGGATCTTTTTAGTCAGATATATATAAACCTCCTCTCTAGAAAACTATCTAAGCACTTTACTAATTCAGGGAAGCGAATAAGCTGTTAGTTTTTTCCCCTCAATACTTTACCATTTCTTTTTTCTAAGCAAATTAAAATTCAGGAGCATTTGCAGCAGTGTTTAGGGAATACCTGCTCATTAACAGAAGCAAATAATGTTCTTTTCTCTGCCTCTGAATTATAGGGGATAAAAACGGACATCACTTCTGTTCAGTTTAGTTCCCTAAAAGCAGTGTGAAACTGCCAATTCCTTTTTTCTGTGTCATCTTTTTCTTTTTTTTTCTTAACATACTTTTTCCAAAGTTTTATGTGCCCAAATGTCATTTAGAAACTGGGCTTGGAACATTATCTAACAGTCTGCTGTTTTCCTGTGTGTGATCTTTTCCCTTGTTAGCTGTATAACTTACAAATAATAATACAGGAGAATAATACTTTGCACTCACTCTCTAACCACTAAAACCATCTCACTTCATTAGGAGATTTAATTTTAACCACACACGGTGAATGGGTATTGACTTTGGTGTCCCAGCTGGATGGCAGTTCAGTGACTGCATTCTGTTGAGCCATTGCTTTAAGGAGCCAGAGTATTCTTTACTTCCTCTCCTGGATTGTTGTTTAATGTTGCAGGCACCATCCTAATGGCTCCCTTCAGTTTCCCTCCAGAGTAGGCTACAGCGTGGTGGTGGCTGATGTGAAATGATTCCTATGTATATTGTAACTTAGTAAAGTGTTTTGAGGCTGGAAGCAGACAGGCATGACATAAATCAATAATAATAGCAATAATCTGCTCCATGCTAGGGAAAGATTCAAAGCCAGAGACACCTCACCCCAGCCAGTTTTAGGAAGGATGTCAAGCATCACTGTGATATTGAAAAGAAAAACCCCTGCCCTTGGCTAATCATGCCCTAAAGCCAAACTTCACATCCCACCATGGAAGTACTTCAGACCTACTTTGGTTTTGCATCTTTGAAAGCACAATCAATACTTTCCACACTAATACACAAAATAACTTGCCACAGTTTGAAGGTAGGGTGAACCTTCTGCTTACAGTCTTATTGTTAGTGCATGATGCATTTTTTTATCCTAGAGCTACACTATTGTAACTATCTTCATGGCAAAAAATCCCGGCAGCAACATAATCCAGATAAACACCACTTGATTCCTAGGAACAGTCCCAATAGAGCCAGTGGTAAGAGCTTGTAGGGCTTTTAAGAGCTATTCTCTCATTAATTAGCCTTTCTAGAGTTCACATGTCCCACGCAACACCTACACTTAAAGAGAGCAGAACAAAATTATTAACAATTATAAGTAATTCTGTTGCATCTATTTTCTATGAGTTTTAAATCTGACTATTACTTTGCTATTATGGACAATAAGTTCAAGGAAACCTCCCCTTACTGCACGATGTTTTTCATCCGTTTCCCATCAGAAGTAGTGATAATAATGCTGTGATCCCCAAGTACAGGATAAGAAAGAAAAATGGGCATAGCACTGATTGTTGCCTACTGGAAAGAATCACTATGCAATGGAAAATCTCTGTTTATATTTTATTTACACTTGTAAAACAAACATCCATATTCCCTTTTGGAGGAAAAATGAAACAGCTTGTATAACCAAAATTGAGCTAATTTATTTAAGAGCCTGGAACTATTTATGTTTAAAGAGAGAGGAAGAGAGAAAAAGAAGTCTGAGCCGTGTTTGATGTAGCAAACAGAGCTGATCTCTCTGTTTGGATGTAGCTGTGAACTGGGATGCCAAGTTATTTTCCAGATACGATGCTAAGCTGTCTGGGCCACTTTAGCCCTTGTTACCTTTTTGCTTAGCTTCTTATTTTAGCAGAGTATTTCACATTTGCCAGCACTGCCCAGCTGCCTTCTAGGATTTCTGTTGGATGGGGAGAAGAATTGTTCATTTTCTGTGTCACTGTAGCTCTTTAGAAAACCCAACATGTCAGCCTAGATCAGGAAAAAAAGAGCTATGTCTTGCTTGAATCTTGACATAAAAATTGTTCCCTGCTCCCTTCTTCCAAGGCAATTTGTGGTTCATTTCAGAATATTTGCATCAGAATAATCTAAAGTGTCTTTAAATCACTGGTTCAGTCCTAGCTAGGTGATAGGCAGTAGCCACAGTATGTTGCTATCACATGGCTGCATGACATGGTTGGTTATAGGCAAGTTCCTTTGTCCAGTAGGGGACACTTTGGTGTTATCACTGGAAGTCTCAACAAAGGATGAATGGAGCTGCCTTTTATTAAGGTCTCAGCACCCAAGATCATGGACTAAGGAAGCCTGCCTGGCTGGGCCTGTATGGTGTATGTTCTGTACCTCAGAACTATCTGTATTTGAGATTCTCAGCTGACATCTCACTGTATCAATGAAAACTTTTCATTGAAAGTTTCAGTGGGAAAAACCTCAGAGGTTTTACAAAACCCACCTACCAATTTGGTGTGATTCTGTGGGTTTTACTCTCCAGGGTAATCCTTTCACAACCAAATAATCTTACCATTTTGTGTGGGCTTCTGCTTGTCCCTGTGAGCACCACAAACAGCATATACCATATGTTTTGTAACTCTGTATTTGATTTATCTGTCAATAGTTGACTTGTCGTGTTTGATCAAGTTTGGATTTGTTCCATAGCAGGCTTCCTGCAGCGATCTTTCTAGTGCTGTACAGTGGGTTTGACTCGACAGATTTGGCTAGTCTGGTTAGGCAGAACTTACAAAGACCTAAATACATATAGATGGCATCTCTAGGTTTCTTCCTCACTTTAGTGGCAACTAGCTGCTCTCATA